TCATTAGCGGTGATGGTGAGCTCGTTTTCTCGTTGTCCAGCAAAGTCATATAAGACCTTGGCCATCACCTTGGGCGGGCTTGGTGGACGTGCTGCGGCAGCAGGAGGGGGTGGTGGGGGTGCACGTCCAGCGCCACTAGCATTGCGAGTATGGCTTGGGAGAGCGTTGTGGGCAGCAGGAATTGGAGTAGCAGCGTTCGCACCAGGACGGGGAGCGATACGAAGAGTGTTTTGGGTGGCGGCAGCGGGAACAGCGGCAATATTGGAGACAGCAGCTGGTGGTTGAGGCACGGCTCGACCTGCCCCTGGTCTAGGCTTGGCAGTTCGGTTGCCCTGGATGCGAGAAGGTCGACCGTTGGGGCCACCAGGCTTGATCAGCTTACCTCGAGTGATGGGGCGAGGAGGTACAGGCTTGCCCTTGGGTGTAGGTCTAGAGATGGAGTTCGGTGGCTCGCCGGGCTGTGTGTGAACAGCACCACTCTTGTAGTAATCAGCTGGAAGTTGTGAATCCTTCAAGACCTTGACTTGCTGCATCTTGCCAGGCTTCTTGGCATACTCGATTGTCTCCGCGATCTTAAGGTTGAATCCACCGGGCATCACTCGCTGCATCTGAGTAAACATTTCTGTCTTGAGCATACAATTCATCAGGGGGTCAGGTTCCTGAGGGGAGCCAATGCCAAGCGAGAACCAATCATCGCGCGCTGATGAGACACCGATGAACTTGATGGCTCCTAGGGGCACCGCTTTCTCAACTGAGATTTGGGGGTGGCCATTCACAAGCATTTGAGCAATGATATAGAACTTGTTGGTGGTGACAACGATGATTCGAGGGCTTGCTTTACTGGATCGACCAAACTTGGCCTCCAGAATCTCAGCACGGCATGAAAATACCGCCTTTTCGTTTGTGCCAATACTGGCTGCGTTGCGAATCTGGGCTCCAGGGCCGGTGCTTGCATTGACACCCAGGTAGTCGCCAAGGAATCGTCGGGAACCCAACAGACTCATACGGCGTCTTTCCTTGCGACCTCCAAGAACCTGGTGGCCATGGTCACGAAGCTGAAGGTATTCTGCTCCGGTTCGCTTCTTCCGCCAGAATCGCTGAATTCGGGTTGCCGACTCGGCTCGGTAGGCGAGGTAAGCCCTCCACATGCGCTGAATTCGCGTAGCCATGTTGTGCCAGTATCTGTCTCTCATATGCTCAAGGGCAAAGAGCGTCTCAGGAGCTTTGATGAAGGCCTTGGTGACACCCATTTGCCACTCTTCCTTAGGAATACTGGTGTCCTTGAGAATCTGTTTTACAGCAGCCTCAGTTGTTCCCTCCCAAGTGAATTCACCAGCGTATGAGGTAGCAGGAGACAAAAGGAAGAATCGATCAACGAACTTGTCAAAATCTTGACGGTAAGCAAAACCGGCACGACGAATTCGAACGTTTTCTTGAAGACCAAGATACTTGATCTGATGCAATACATTGGGGCCATTATATTCTGTTGGCGACTTGTTCTCGTTGGGCTTGATGGTACGGATATATGAGGGCTGGCACTTCATCAACGTCTCGACCAGGGCGTTGGCCGAAGCTCGGATGCGATCGCCTGAAGAAGGAGGTTGCTTTCGGTTATCTTGGTCAACGGGCCGAGGGAACAGGGTATGAACAAATTGGTTTCCACTGTGCTGAAAAAGGTTCAAAAGTCCCTTTAGAAGCTGATCCTTGTTCTTATCCGTCATACCTTCGACAGTATAGGTGACATCGCCAGCGTAATGCTTGATGATGAAGTTTCCTTGCCGAGGGGTAAGATGAGCGTGAGACATGCCGTTGATACTCTGCATGAATGTGCGATCGCAAGCAGCGGGGTCAGCGTGTGCAGTCTTGGTGGCATCCTTCATAGCAGAGAAGATACCAACTGGCCGGATCTGTTCGATAAGGTCACACACAATCTTGTTATCGAAGTACTTAATAGGCGTCCATTGAATCTGTTCCCTGGCATACTCCTCTTGCTCGGCTTTGAGAGTCAGTTGAATGAAGATCTGTTGCAGCTTTTCGTTGACGTAGTTGATGCACAACTGCTCGAAAGTGTTCTTCTCGAAAATCTCGAATCCATAGATATCCAGAATACCGATTGTGTTGGTTGTCGGTTGCTTCGCCTTGAGAGACTTGTTGATGCGCTCGACAATCCAGTCGAAGAGGTTGCTATAGATGGCCATTGCCAGAGCATCTCGAGTAGCCTGTGCTTGGGCAGGGTTGGCTGGTGATTCGATAACTTCGCCATTTCGAGGTGTCAGGATTCGAATTGTGATGCCGCTGATGAGCTGGTCAGGGGTAACTTCTAACAGGTAGGCGGCAAAGTCAACCACTGATCGATCGATAACCTCTGCGTAGCCGCCCTGATCCTCCTGAAACTGGATATTTCCAACCCATAGAATAGCCGCCAGCATTCGAAAAATTTCATCTTGCTCAGCCTGGGTAAGGCCAATAACCTTCATGGCATTAAGCGTGTCCTGAAACTCGGCGAGATCGTCGATACCGTCAACATCAAAGCATTTCGACCGACTAGTATAGACGTAGGTCTCGGGTTTTTGAACACCGAATGTTTCTCGATATTGTTGTGAGGCGCCCTTCGCGAATTGGTAAAAGATATGGAAGTTTCGCTCGTTCGTGATCTGGCCCACCACTCGTGACTTTTCCAGGAGGTAGTTTGTGATGTCGGCACCCACGGGTTCGCCCTGGGCGTTGAAGTAGATCTGTAGATACTTGCCGAAACGCGAGGAATTGTTGTTTCGAAGGGTTTTTGCGTTTCCGAAAGATTCTAGTAGGGGGTTGGTTGCCAGCACCATATCCTTGATCTGCTTGATATCTCCGGATTCTCCACCAGACACACTAGCAATGTACTGCATGATGCGCTTGGCCGCCTCGGTTTTTCCGGCTCCTGACTCTCCTGAAATAATGACACACTGGTTGTCGCTGTATGCTTTCATGTTGTAGTATGAAGCCTCGGCGATAGCGAAGACATGCGGTGGCATCTCAAGTCGGTTCTTGCCCATGTAGCTCTCGAGGACCTGGTCGGTATAAATGCCCAGGTCCCTGAAAGGGTTGACTGAGACCAACACATGGCCAATGTAGGTATAAATTTCGCGGCCCTCAAATCGCTTCTTCAAGTTCTCGTTGATGGCTTCGTTGGAGACTTTGCTCAGCAGAGTCAGATCGGAAACACCAATCTCCTTCTTCTTGGTTGTCTCGAAGGTGGCCTTCTTAGGCTTCGCGCCTCCGCTTGCGCCGTCCGCGGCTGCGCCGGCGCCCTTGTTCTTAGGGCGTCTTGATATTCCCTAAGAGTTGAGTAAAAGTTGTCAGCCAAAAAAGACGTCGATCTTGAGGGTTGACACCGTACCATGATGTGCGACTAATGGGGTAGAGAGTGGGGAGGGGATAGGCGAAAGAGATGGTTAGTATTGAATGTTTATCTATACGGGCATCAGACGATAAATCCCGTGTTGAATAATTGAAGGTCTCTGGTGCGAAAAAGCCAGACAAGAAAATGCGAAGTTTAATTCCAAAGCAGAGAGTCTGGAAGCTCAGGTAGATTTGGTGTGGCTGGAGACGACTGGACTTGGGGAGGTTGTGTTCAGTGATGATCTGGTGCCTGACAAGTGACGAAACGCCGACAATTTTCCGCCCGGCACAGCCCCCTGGATTACTGTGCAGCCTTACGCAATAAGTGGCGGTAGCAAGTGTTAACGTCTGGCTATTATATGAAAACGCGCGGCAAATAAAAGTCTGCTCTAGGCAGTATAAAGCACAAGAATTTAGGGTGAAATTGTTTATTCAGTTCTTTTTGCGGTGTTCCACTCCGTAGGGATGATTCTAATAATATCCCGACTCGGTCATCCCTGCGATTATGAATATTGCCTTGCTTTTTACTCGCTCATGCCCGATGTGTCGTCATTGTGCAGTGGAATAATAAGTATTATCAGGAAATAAGATTCATCTTGGGTTGCTGTCCAAGTCTTCAAAATCTAATAGTGAGCAGTCGACTCATATCCTGACTATTTGAGCCGGAGACGAAAGAATTTGTTATCAATTGTTGGAGTGTATTTTGCAGGGATACTGAGGAACATGGCTGGGTGGGTTTGACAAAGATGACTTGACCAAACGGTTTCGTCAGCAGCAATTCCAGCCCAGCTAGGTAGGTACAGATAAGCAGTCAAATCGAGTACCAGACCCCGTGTGAGTACAGACGTGCTTCAATATACTAGGATTTATTCGGATTGAGCCGCAGCGAGTTGGTCCAACTTTGACCGCGTCTCATTCCTTGAGATCGAACAAGACCCGCAGGGGAGCTTAGACAGAATATACCAAAGTAGAAGTTAGATAGGAGTTTATCAGAAACAGCAAGTTCATATAAACAGCATTCATCTATGCAATTAAACACCAATAGTAAATTCAAGTGGTCCTTATCCACCAGATGCTCCGTTCATCTCCAGCTTCAAGCGTCTTGGCCTGCATTTAGTCCCCGCCAAACAAGCTCCAGACCGATCTTTTATCCATCATGATGGTATCACCAACGGAAGAACAAAACATCCGCCCAGGAACATTTAACAATCTGATTGAATTCAGTTTAGCCAACAACTGATCGTCCAATCCCTTGTCCTCTGACGCGCAGCTTACAGTATGTAGTGAGCTTCCCGGTTGCGGGGTAGCAACCCCCAAAGGTGGCATGCTCACTAAACAGGTGAGCGGCCCAAGCCAACCACGCCCGACGAAACATCCAATGCGCATAAACATGGCAGTGCGCTGCCGCATCAACGGCCCATTCTGAGACCTTAGCTTGAGATTGTTGGAGTAGATAAACTTAAGACCGCCGCATCTGTTTCTTCTGAGACCTGTTTACCTCCTTCTTCTCCAAACTCTATCGCTACCACTTACACCAGTACTGACTTACTACACTTATACACGCATTACTCTGAACTTGACTACCCTGTTTACCAAGCTTACACTAGTACAACACCATCATGGCCGACACTGAACAGCAGCCCAAACTCGTTGACGAGTCTCCTATCTCTCCTGTAGAGCGAAGAAACTCCCTGGAAGCTCACCTCAAGCACCGCCCCGAACGCTCCGAGCTCGTAGATAGTGAGGAGTCCCCCTCATTGCACTCTTGTGTTTACAATGCTTACATGCCCTAAACAGAGAACATCCTTCCAGCCTCTACGGCAGCGCCAGGCCTCCAGGCGCATCAGAAGGAGGTGAGTCCGCCCTCAAACCATGGAACCACAGTCGCTGACGCCCCCACAGCTCGAGAAGCACATGCTCGAGGATAAGCTTAACGACAAGATCTCACACCGCCCAGACCCAGAGGATCTCATTAAGGAGGGCGTCTTACACGACGACCCGCGTACTGTTGCCCAGGACGAAGCGGCCAAAAAGTACGAAGAGGCTATCGAGGATGAGTATGCCAAGCGTGAGGGTGGCGCTTGAGCATGATGTCATGCGACGGGGTCATGAGCCTCGGTACCCATGATGCCAGAAATGGAAGTGGTAACGAACCTGAATGACCTGACTGTGAATGGATGGTTGTGTGTATACGAACGATATGAAATGAATGGGCACTATTAGGCCTTCGCTTGGGCCGTGGTAATTGCTATAGGTAGTATATTGAACACTGTAAAACCCTGAAATGCCCAAAGCCTCACACGACTGTGTACTAACACGAAGCATGGGGTGTGAGGATACAACTCTGACTGCTTCTCACACACCAATTGGGCAGAGGCAAAGTCGTTGATCCGCAGAAAGTGGGAATTCCGTCTCATCTTTTTACAGTCTAAGCCATTTTAATAGGAAATTCCAAACGTGGAGAACTTCTTCAAAACACTTCCAAAGTGGAGGAGACACTGCATATCAAAAGCTCTAAAATCCCTGCTACGGGTTGGGCTGCAGGTACCGAGCGGGAGGGAACCCAAGGGCCCCATCCACTCGCAGAGACCGCAACCCAACCCGTCACACCATCAGTAAATTTTTGGTGTCTTGGACCCTTTTTTGAAATTTCCAAAAATCAAGGAAAAAGCACAGATGAAATTAGAAAGGAGCTGAAACAGCTGAAAGGTGTGTTGGAAATTTTCTTCCATGGTCTCAAATTGGGTCGCTAGAATCGGACCAGTCCGACGGGCCGTCTCATATCTCATCCAGCCATCTCGACTTGTAAGAGGTCAAGACGGGAGATTTGGCCCTTCTAAAAAGTTCAGCGCGGACCGCAAAGTGTCCGACGCTCGAATAGTAAAAGTACAAAGGATGATACAGTCAGTATAGAAAAAGGGAAAAGAAAAACAGTCTCGGCTCAATCCAACCCGTCCCAGAGTCTATCAATCTTGGTTATCGTTGTGCAACCCTTGCCCTCTAATCCATAATACATCGCCATGCTGCGCTCAATCTTGCCTCATATCTCCAAAAGTCAAAACGCCTGTCTATGTTGTGTATATCCCATATCCGTTACATGTCGCTATTCGAAATCGATGAAACATAGGAAATCGAAAAGAAAAGAAAAAAGAAGAAAAAAAAGGCTGTGACCAAGTGTTGTTTAGATCCTCGTATATGCGCCAGAATATTTTGGTGCCGGCGAGTCTTTCTCATACGAGACTTTGTTGTGGTTGATGACCAAGTTTCGACCAGAGCTGGCGACTTGTGTAGTGTGCTTGTCTGAATCAAATGTTAGAGTGGGGCCATGGGGAGTGAAAGAGCCCGGAGACTCGGTGGTAGGTAACTTACCAGCACCGTACTCGCGGTAATCGCCAGGAGAAAGAGATCGAGGCGTTGTGCTGGTTGAAGAGCTGTACGAACCAGAAGAGTAGCTGTAAGAGCTGGAGATGGAAGGCTCCTTGGTGCTCTGGTGGATTTGGACAGTGTAAGGGGAGCTCATGGTTGCGGTTGTGTTGGTTGTTAGGGGTAGTTGTCGTTGGTGAGAGTTGTGTTGTAGATGTTAATCGAAATGGTTGGTGGTTGAAAAGGCAATCTTGTATGTTCTTTCGAGGCTTTGTATTGTGAGTGTTTGGTGGGAATGAAAAAGGGAATGGCATAGGAAGAAGGGGGTCTATATGTATTTGAAGCTTTATGATGAGAAATGATAGTACGTACTCGGTCATTTGTAAGTGGATTTAACCCAAGACCTCACTGCCTGGAGGACAAGGGTTACCTGGCAAAGCGCAAGGCATCTCGCACGCTAGGTAGCCTTCGATATGGGGGGACCCAAGGAATTCCATCGAGTTCAGGGGAGTGAGTCAAAAGGAGTCAGAGACAAGACCAAGACCCGAGCAAGCACGTACTCCCGGGCCCGGCACGGCAAGCGGGCCATGCCTCTAAAGCACAACGGACGGGAGGGCTAGTAATTGATGGTGTGTAAATGGGAATGGACAACACGGGGTGCAGCATAATGGGGCTTGGTCAAATCATTGGGCATCGACTGGCTGTTCAGGGCAAGGGACCAGAGTCTAAAAGAAAACATCCCAGCAAGACTCATTGCGATTGCAGAACATCCGTCCCCCTTAACAGAAACCTTGTGACAGCACTGCTCAGGCCCTCGGTGGCGAAATTCAGGTTTACAAGTGAAGGTTGGTGACGCTGGATAGGGCGGAGCCGTAGCGACGTAGGGCGAATGAGCAGCATTTGGTGCAAGGCAGGGCAAAGGACCAAGCCCCACGGTGTGCGCGAGAGGGACCGACCGGGTCTGAGGGGATGCAATTCGGAGACCATGATTCAAATTGGTTGAAAAGAGACAAGACGATAATAATACTATGTCTATTTGTTGCCTATAATTGGGGGCCACGAGTCGCTTCTTCTAGTCTGTTGGGCATGTACTGTGTACTCGGTCTTTGGTAAATACTAACCCCCAGCATGACTTATTAGACTTTGATTAGACCGGGGGCATTTTCACGATGCAACGGCCTTTGAGTGAATGCATGAAACACTCGCAGCGGCCGTCATGCTAGAGGTTGGAGTCTAGGGAGTCCAGTCCGGTCCAGGCACCACAGGCACCAGCGCCAGTAACACGTACCACAACCTTGGGATCGTGGAGCTATAATACGTTAGTGACCATGAACAGATAAAAATATCCATGGTGGTCGTCATGACTGGGTAAGAAAGGGAGTGAGGCTTCGCTTCGTGAATCTCACAATTCCACTCTTTGTCTGAGACAACTCCCCATCTCACGCTCTGTGTCTTCGTCTTTGTTGAACCCCCCCTTTTTTCTTATTTCTTTGATGCAGGCCTTGACTCTCATGACTGGCATCGCCCTTGTACAACAGACACATCCAAATCCAGCTCATACCTATCGCTGCCCAAAACTTAAACATAAGTGTCACCGTGTCTCTGAATTGTGCACCCGAGCCTATCGAAGCTCTATGCCCCCCACCGTAAAGGAAAGGGGTTGAAAGGGGACTATCATGTCTCCCTGTCTCGATCAACAGCATCATGACAAGAGGCGAAATTCATTGTGAAGCGCTTGGCCCAGGGCTTCTCGGCGCTGGTGGATCTGACACCTGCAGGCTGGGATGTGCCCACATCTGGGTTGCATCTCTGCTGCAGGAACTGATGCACCTGCTCGACTAGTAAACTTGTCGATTGCTGAAGCTCTACACCATCTCGCCTTGGTGCAGTCACGCGTAAGTACATCGGCGCCCTAGCCGCCGCAGTAGACGATTCTTACTAGTCCTGATATCCTGAACGGATGGATGGACGGATGGGCCCGACACTGATTACTGGTCACATCAGAAACATGACCATCCAGTGACGTCGCGATACTCTGTTTCGATAACAGCCTTGGTGTGATGAATCAGGGACTGCCAAGGGATGTTTCTTTTTGCGCCTTGCTTGGCTGTACAAGGCCCCGACTGATTTAGTGAAGCGTCGTGTTATCGTCATGAGTCACATGGATGGTTTCGCCCTGCGAGACCGAAACAGAAACAGAATATGCAAATGCATATTTGTAATGCGTCAGATTTACTGTAGATACATGTGTATGTACGTAGTTGAAGGGTCAACGTGATGCAAATCCTCATGGATGGACCCTGTTATTTCGATTCTGCTCATCCATATCTGGCATTGCAGCCTCCCCGGTTTCCAAATGGAGATGCGAGACGTGACAACCCAGAAACAGATCAAGGATGGGGTCGTTCAGGCGGGCCGGCCCCATTGACCAATAACAGGCTCCTTAGCTTGACCCTCCAAGCTATGACGCTGTTTTATCAGAAGCACACGCTGCAGTACAGAGCCTTTGGCCGCTAAACGGACACGTCGCAGCTTAACGTTAGAGAGGCCAACAACCCCAGAGCAGACGGCGGGAGCTTCATCCATCCAACGACAACCTCGCTCGCATCCATTCACACTGCCTCACACGACGTGCCAACCACACCCATCGACGTCACATCTCCAACCAATTCAGGCTTCTCATTGACCTCAACGCCGTTGTGACCTCCATTAACCTCATCAATTCCCCGCCCCGCATCTGTCCCGGCCGCCACCATGAAGGCCGCCCTCCTCCTCTCCGCCCTCGCCTCTGCCGCCGTTGGCGTTGTCGCCGAGGACCTCAAGATTGACGTTACTCTTCCTGTCGTCTGCGACCGCAAGACACAGAAGGGTGACAAGGTCCAGATGCACTACCGTGGCACCCTTAAGGACTCGGGGAAACAATTCGACGCCAGTAAGTTCCTCCGCTTTGCATCTACATCAATGATCATCACAAGCACATGCTAATTCGGACACAAGGCTACGACCGTGGCACTCCTCTTGAATTCCGCGTTGGCTCTGGTCAGGTCATCAGGGGGTAAGCTTCATTACTGCGATGTACACAAACTCGAGGCTGACAATTGTGTAGATGGGACGAGGGTCTACTCGACATGTGTATTGGCGAGAAGCGGTACGTTAAGCATACAGCTACAGCCAGGACACCTCTTTACTAACCCTTGACTTAGACTTTTGACTATTCCGCCTGAGTACGGCTACGGCCAGCGAGCCATTGGCCCTATTCCTGCCGGTTCTACCCTAGGTTCGTTATTCCCACCAGCCCCTCCCGCTTCACATTCACCGCCTAACTCTACAAACCTGCAGTTTTCGAGACAGAGCTCGTTGGAATTGAAGGTGTCCCCAAGCCCGAGAAGATCGAGACAAAGGTTGTTGAGGGTGCCGAGACTGCCGCCGAGGCTATCAGTGAGGCTGTTGAGTCTGCCGCATCTGCCACCAAGAATGTTGCTGGCAAGGTTGCTCAGGCTGTCGTTGATGCTGCTGGTGCCGCCAAGACCATCATTGCAGACACTGATGACGCTCCTGAGCACGAGGAGCTGTAAGGATTCGATGTCTTCAATGATCTACTTTGTACATAACGTACCAACTCATACCACACCATGTTCTGTCTTAGACGCAGCCATAAGAAGCTGGATAACAAAACCCGGACCCTGTCAACGTCGTGTGCCATCCGCTCGGGGCTAGGCCCCACGCTGGCCCTCTGTGACATGTCCGTTGCATGTGCATAATCGCGCTGTAAGGAGGGTCTACTGTCTGTCCCGGGCAATAGGATTTGTCTCGTAGATCTCGACGTCATTATACGATACCCTCATTCTGTTGTGATGGCTTCGCCTCTGGCGGCCGCATGTATTGATGTTCACTGATCTTCTGTTACATTAAAGGATGTTGATGATGAACGGATATATGCAGGTATGGGTCACCCGAGTCATGTGGATGCACTTGGTGATGTCTTCAGCATGTCTGATCTCTCACTACTGAGTTGGATATCTCGATGAACTACAGGCTTTAATGGTGGTTTATTTCTTGTGGAGAGGGAGCGGGTCTTGTCTCTGGTCTTATTGAAATGGTTTCCTGCTCTTGAGTCACTTGTAAAATCCTTGACCGTTCTGGATGTATACTTTGATCACTTGCAGGTGGGGTGTTGATTAATCTATCTCATATCTAGCGGTGTAGGTCAATGACTGCCCATACTGCGTCATTTCTTCTGTTCTATCATGATGATGCTTAATCATGAGTAAATTATTGAATACCGCATATCATCTTTGATGTCAGGCGTGCGAGGATATCATAAACGGCTGTGGGTGCTAGAACGACGATGTCGTCGGGGCGAGCAACGAACCAGAAATGAATGCCACTATTTTCAAATTCCACAGCCTTAACTTGGTATACCTGCTGGTCAACCAGCCTTGTGTGATCAGTAATGAGCCCACCCTTGTTGACTTGCAGTGTCGGAGGCTCGTGAGGTTGGGTTCGATAGTGTAGGGTAGGTGCGGCTCAAAGAGGTTTCATGACGAAGCGCATCATGAAACACTAGGAGCAAGGATCTGGCACGAGTCCCCTCGAGAAATCGATTGTAACTAACTTCAGTCTTTAACTAGATGTTATGTTCTCACTCGTTCCACGTGACGTGTCTGAGCCCTCACCCTCGTGAATAGACTTTCCATTTCGAAACAATGGTGATGCGCTATAAGGTAGGTACCTAGTACGGAGTACGTAGTTTTGGTAATAACGCATTATTAGCCTTTTGGCAAATCGTAATGATGAACAACACCATAATGGTCAATGACAACAAGTACAACTGGCTAGTGAATGCTCCAATATCTTAACAACACGCGTCACCTGACAATACAAGACATTGACCGTATGTTACTAATCGTAACTCAATTTGGGGCTTTGGTTTCCTCCTGAGAAGGCGTTACATACGGATGAAGGCTCAGCCACGAGCTGCAAGGGTCAATCCATGAAAGGGGAACAGCTGGGTAAGGAGTGGAGGTTAAATTAAACATCATGATTACGTGAAGACTACCTAATCTCAAGAAGGAATGATAGAAAAAGTGCTACATGACAAGTATATACCCTTGCAGGCAAAAAGAGGCTAACAATACGAGTAGACACTGACTTGGGATCAGCGAAGCAAGACTCAAGTTGGCTGGGATTGAATCACTTATAAGTGAAGCCAAAAGCTACAGCGTTCCATTACGATAAAACCAATGATATCCGCTGGCGGAACGGACCCGTTAGCCCGTTTTAATGTGCCGGGAACTAGGGTACCTTAATTAGAGAGGGAGTCGGGAGGGACGGGATGAATATGGAGATGACGGGCGGGAATGGCCAGAGACAAGCCCGAATCTAAACCTTAATGGAGCATCAACTGTATGTATTTCATCAGGTACGTGAGGCTTAGACGCAACTGTTTCTAGGTACTAGCTAGACTTGAGGGTAATTGATGAATATCCAAACATTGGCTCCCTCTTTGTCTGTAGCTTTGACCTTTCCATGATCCTCAACCGTGCAACTACCATCTTTTTGTACTGGGTCACCTTGTGCTCACCGTTTCAATTGGGACGCGGTAAGCTTTTAGCGCCCGCTCAACCTTTGAATTTGGTGCGCTTTCAGTTGCACAGCATCCATAGGTAGGTTGGGATGGATCCCAGGGGCGTAACTCCATGTCTCCCTGTTAGTTTTCGATCAATGCACTGCCAGTTGGCACCTTTCATTATCACCATCTCCCGAATTAAACAGTGTCCTTGTCTGTTTTTGTAGCATTGTCTCTCTTCCTCGCGCCCGCGCCGTATAATTAATCCTGTTTACTCTCCTTTCTTGCATCTGCCGTCTTCCGTCTTCACCTTATCTGCTAGCGAAACCTACCTATTTCTTTCCTTTCAACTCTCTCGTTCACTCAACACTCACTCACTTGTGTATTTGGCATCACCGCGATTTCGTCACACAATCGCCTCCTCTAGTGATTGAAATGTCATATCTCTTCAAATAACGACACCGGACTAGATAAACAAGCTTTTCTGAGGCTCCGCGCCTATTGCTTGGGAGCTGACCTTTTCAGCTGGGGTACACATCTTGGCATCTCAAACCCGGCGCAGCCACCACGATGCTCGACTCTATCACATCTCGCTGGAAAGATCTTCGCGAGGAGCATCCGCGCTTTGATGCGGTCGTTACACAGGCTGGGAGGCTGGTACCACCCATCAACTTCATAACCATTCACTACGCCTACTTCATATTCGGATCCCTCTTCTTCTCACTTATCTTCTGGCTATCCAGCGAGCCAAGCCAGAGTATCCCCTACGTCGACTGTCTGTTCCTGGTGGTGTCTTCTTTTTGCGATACAGGCCTCAATACCGTCAATCTTTCCGAAATCACGACATGGCAGCAGGTTCTGCTGTATCTTCTTTTCATCATTGGAAGTGCTCTATGGGTTTCATTCTGGACGGTCATGGCACGAAAACAGGCGTTTGAGAAGCGTTTTGAGGATATCGTCAGGACAGAACGAGAAGCGAGAAAACGGCGGGCCGCATTGAGACGCGCCAAACCACTTGGGAGATTCCTCCCTTTCGTCAAAGCGAGGACAACACCTGTTTCAACCGAGACTTCCAATACCCTGACTGGTCTTGGAACAGTTCAGAGGACAGCAACTGAGAAACCTGACCCTAACGACTTGTTCAAGACAACTGCTCCTATGCGCCGCGCCGTTACTGCCCCTCCAGATGCTATTTCCGACTCAGACGACAATGATAGCAGTACGACGCAGGTGGCAGTTCCTGCACGGAACGCTCCTATGACCCCAAACTCCGGCGATCATATCCAATTCGCCGACAACTTGTCGCCCCGAAGCGCCGGCAGAGACAGCGTGTCCATTTATCGACGGAACGAGAACGAGGAACCCAACCGACGACCTTCAACCTCAGACTCAGCCAACAGCGACGAATCAGAAGACTTTCTTCTGCACTGGAAGAAGATACTCGGGAGCCACAATACAAGCAAGAGAGGCCAATTCTACGACCTATCTTCCGATGAACGTGAGGCTTTGGGTGGCTGTGAATACCGCGCGCTGAAGATCTTGGCCGTCACTGTTCCTCTTTACGCCTTCATGTGGCAAGCTGTATGTGGAATTGCACTGGGTGCCTGGATCAGCATCAACCGGCCATCCGCGGCGACCGTCAATGCTGTCAACCCCTGGTGGTGCGGAATCTTCTTATCGTCTTCGGCATTTAACAATGCCGGCATGTCACTCAATGACGCCGGCATGGGTGCATTTCAGGATGCGTATTTCGTTCTCATCGTCGTTGGTATCCTTGTCCTTGCCGGGAATACGGGCTATCCACTGCTATTGAGATTCTTTCTCTGGTGTAGTCTCAGGGTATTGCAACTGACCACCGAGCCTAAAACTCTAGGGCCATGGAAAGAGACGATCGAGTTCATTCTCAAGTATCCCCGTCGAGTATACACGACACTCTTCCCGTCAGGTGCTACATGGTGGCTCTTCACCGTCATTGTTGCCATCAACACGATTGACTGGGTTGCTTTTGAAGTCTTGAATATCGGAAATGATGTTGTAGAAGCTATGCCAGTGTCAGACCGTATCATTGCTGGATGGTTCCAAGCAATTGGTAAGTAAAAATCTCCCCATTATGTGATTGCCTCACTGACACATCTTAAGCTGTTCGTGCTGCTGGTTTTGCGGTCGTTTCTATCTCAGGTCTCTATCCTGCTGTCCAACTGCTCTACATGATTATGATGTACATTTCCGTATACCCTGTCTCGATTACAATGCGCCACTCCAATGTCTATGAGGAACGATCCCTTGGCATTTATGAGGATGACCCTCAAGTTTTGGACGCAGAGAATGGAAACGGAAACGAAAATGGAAACCACCTTCTGCCCACGATCTCAGAGGAACCAGAAAAACCTGCACTGCGACGAAGAGTCACCGCTGCAGCTCAAAAGACGGTCAAGAAGTCTATGACTTTCCATGGAGTTGGCGTGCGACCTCCCCCTAAAGGTCCAGACGATAACTCTCGTATCTCTTTCATTGGACAGCAGATTCGTGGACAGCTTGCTCATGACATGTGGTGGCTTATCCTCCCGGTCATCGTTATCATGATCATCGAGACCGACCATTTCCTCGAACAACCTCTTGCCTACAGCGTCTTTAATGTGTTGTTTGAGGTCGTTTCGGCTTATGGGTGCGTTGGTCTGTCCATGGGCTTACCAGGAAAAAGCTACAGCATGGCTGGAGGCATGCACCGAGGTAGCAAGTTTGTATTGTGCTTGGTGATACTCAGAGGCCGACATCGAGGTCTCCCTGTTGCGCTTGACAAAGCTGTTAGGTTGCCAGGAGAGAAGTTGGTACGCGAAGAGGAAGAAGACTCCAAGATCAGAAGGACAAAGACGATGAATAGGATAGCTAGTCGAGAGTCTAGAGTCATGTAGAGTTGCACATCGCATGTATATCAGCAAGGCGTTCACGGATCTGGAAACAGGATAGATTTGAATTTACCAACGGAAAGATAAAACAACGTTGAAC